TGTCTGAGATTTAAAAAGCAATAGTATTACATGATATGCCTTTCTTGCTAAGTAATAGCTCACTTTTTTTTGCACTGATGATGAAATTAAACTGCAGAAGGGGCTGGCACGAACCACCTACAATTGAGAGACAAAACCACTCTCTGCTCAGCTCATCCCACAGCAAGGACTGACCAAAGTAATATTTCTTCCTTTTGAAGCAAGACTTGTAAGAATACATTAACTCAAGACATCCTTTTAGCCTGATATAAAAAATCCTGTAGCTACAAATAGGTAAAAGAAGGGATCTTAGAAATAATTTTATATATTTTAGAAATCATGTTAAAAGTTCTTAAAGTCTAAGATAGATTTCCTTTTTTGTTACAAATCCGAAGAGGAGAAAAAGAAAATCACAAAGTGCCTCCATTTAGCATACTGAACTTTACTTGAAGTGTAAAGGTAAAATTTACAGTGAAAGGAAAATTTCTGTTACCAAACACAATACCCACAGCAATCACTAATGCAAGGCAAAAATCTCCCTCCTTAACTCCAAATAATGATCCATATGCCTCATGCCATGAGGTAACACATCTAGAGTGAGCCATACATACATTTTGTACTTCCTTTAGGTCTCCTTTACAAGCACCAAGTAATTACGTTTTCCTCTAGCAAATTCTCCTTAAAACGCACTTTTAAAAAAGCTTCCTCTCTCATTTCTTGGCAATCAACTTGTGCTTCTTTCCATTTAAATGAACACACTTGTGTGCTGTATATGTCTGAGGAACTCTGCTGGCCCTCAGCTTCTCACTCCTGCCTACTGAGCAGAAGTGAAAAAATGTGACAACTGCAGGAGCTGACAGCAAAGCCTACGAGCCCTGGGAGACAAGATGAGCCCTGACAGCTTCAGCACACACTGGTTCCCAACAAAGGGAAGGCTGCTCATCCCCCTTCCCCTTGTCAGCATGAATCCAGATCTCTCAGGATGCTCAAAGAAAATGAACTCAGCACTGCCTGCCAAAAGCACACACAGTGCTTTGGATCAGCTCCACTGCAATGGTCACTTTGGTTTTGGTCACCTTCAGCGGTGCCACAGGTGCTGCTGGCACCAGACCCACTGACCACGGGGTACCCACCTCTCCCCAAACCAGCTGCCACTCCAAAAAGGATGTAGGACTTGGATCTGGGACTGACCCCTCAAGGGTAAGTTCCTGTCTCACCAGGGTATTTTCTGGCTTTCAGACACTGATCTGGGGCCGAGATAATTCCTGCCTCCCCTGGGTATTTTCTCCAGCTTGGGAACAATTTGCATCTCTGTGCCACAGAATTTCAGCTTGTTTCCTCCCTTATGTCAAAACACCGTGTTATAATGAAGCATTAATATATCAAAATTCTAAGCATTATGTCAACAGAAATTAATAGAGAGGCAGTTTAGGAAGTATTTACCATCCAGTAAAATTGTTGAATCCGGAGAGTTTTGACTTCAGTCTCCATAGTTACCAAGAGCAAATACAACTTGTATGAGGAGAGGCACAAAGTCAGCTAATTTTTTCATGGAGGGGTCACAGTCTGAATGAAACAAGTCCATAGACTTTTAATGAAGGTTTTGTTTTTTTTTTCAGAGATTAAAAATGCTGGAAATTATCCTAATGAGACTGCACTAATCTTGTTAGGTCATCTGTATTTTAAGATATAATAATATCACTTGTTTTTCATTATTAAAATGTTTTGATTTGGAAGTCAGGACAGGCAATGCCTATTCAAAAGCTGACTCATCTTTTCTCATTAAAGGTAAGTGAATGGAGAGAGAATAATCTGCTTTTCTAGCAGCAACAACAGAGTTCTGAAATCTAGGTCACATTAAAGAACTGTCTTGAAATACAAGCTTTAGACACTGCATTGTGTTTTTCCTTGCTGTGAAACATGGGGATTAACATGCATATTCAATCACCAATAAATCAGCATGCAACTTGTTCATAACTGACATTTAAATGCATTTTCTGATTTGATCAGGGTCTAAAATTATTCTGTCCTTATTAGTGTCAGCTTTTCTGGCTTCTCTGCTTGTCCATAATTACTGTAATGTTCTGATTCTCAGACACCAAATTAAATAAGCAGGGTCTAGTTCCTGGGCCCTGTAACAACACCCCCAGTAAGGCCAGTTAAGTGAAAAGAATGTCATTCCTCACTCACACTCAACAAATGTGGGTTTAGTCCAAGGAAAGGGAGTTTGGGGATAATTCAGGATTTAAAACCCATTGACTGCCATGTGTCAGATTCCAGACTGAGAGCACATTACAGGAACATGATGGGATAAATAGCTCAAAATTCAGTGCCTGAGCTCCCAGTGAGTGGAGAACCTGGCTTCAGAGCACTTCCTGGATGTGGAAGGTTGGGATTGTGTCAATTACAGCAAGATTGTATTTTTGGACAGAAGTGTCAGAGGCAGAGGGAGGACATGGGCTGTGTTATACGAGTGCCCATTTGGAAATGCTGATTGCCTGCTCTTTGATGAGGAGATAAGTATGTTCCAGGGTTAATCAGATTTTGGCCATCACCAGTACCCAGTGTATTCCTTTTCTAAATTTGTAATAGAAAAGAAGAAAATGCTATCTCTATTCTTTTTAGCATGATTTGCACCATATGGTCTACTAAGTGCAGCCAGCAACTACTTTTAAATGCTGCAGTTCTTCACTGAGGCATTATTATCCTCTGTATGATGATGGAGGTAATCTCAAGTGTTCAGGAGATGCTCACATTCTGTAAAGCAGAATGGCCTCTCAAGGCTTGGTTTCTAAAAAGAGCTTACAGTCTTTAAAGAAGATGAAGAATGGCTCTTTCAAGGGATGAGCTTGATTATTCTGTTTATTACTTCATTATTTGCATTTTGGGATCTGGAGGATCCTGAAGCAGTAAGCCCTGGAAAATGAGCTGCTATTTTTTTTCCAGAGTCTTTGCTTGAAGAATCACCCAAATGCCTTCACAGAGCTGTCACTCAGCCTGCAGAGCTGAAAGCTGATCTGCAGCAGTATCTCAAGGCAACATGTTCTTGAAGATTTTCAGGAATACACTGAGCTTCTTCAAGCCTCTTCCCTCAGGCAAAATGTCCCTCAGGCTATTACAGAGGAAGGGTATAGTTTGTGTGGATAACTTGTAAATATGTATTTTTGACCTGGTTGTCAAGGAAGATTTTTTTTACAAAGGAAGCAGTTTTCTGTTGGAAAAACACTCTACAACCTTTTCTTGGCACCCAGACTCTGTTTCACATGTACTGTAAATGAATCAAAGAGGAATTTTGGCTGGGGCTCCTGTACTTCATATTTACAAGAATGAAGCAAATAATGAAAGAGAAGTTCTATTTAGAAGGTAAAATGTATCACAAAGGTTTCCCAGCCAGACATTCTGATCCAATGAGCAACCTCAAAAATATTAACTCCAGTTCTCTCTCTAAGAATTCAGTAACAAATTATTATGCTGTGGACACCTTCCTGGAAAAGGAAACCTTCAGTCTGCACTGTAGTTTCTATTACACTTTTCTCTTTGATGGATGATATTTATGAAATGCCACATACACAAGAGCCCCCTTTCTGTGACAGTCCATCTGCAAGAAAACTTCAAATCACATGAAGTTTTAGTGAGAAGCTGGCAGAGAGCACTGCAGACAGAATGCTATTACATAGTTCCTTTGCCTTAACTACTTTCTTTGGAGGGAGAGGGAGAAAAAAACCAGTGAGGTTTAAAGCTTTAATCTCATATCCAAGCTTGTCAGAGCCCAAATCTATCTGTAATGCTCTCCAAATCAGAATGAACTCTGAAAGATGACGTTCAATCTTTAAATCCTTCTCTGCAGACCTATTTTTAATTCTCAGGTTCACAAAATGGATCCCTGCTGTGGCTCCAGAGCTTTCTAACATGTATTCTACCTATTATGTTTGACACAACCATGTGTTAGAATTCAGCTGCATTTAGAACCAAAAGTTTTCTCTGCACAATTTCCTGTGTAGCATAATAAGACCAATTCAGTGTGACAGAACTATTACTGTCATTGGTGGAAAAACAATTATCTCCTCTCCTGGTCACTGTTATTCTTTTCACTCCACCAGTAACTCTAATATTATGGACACTTCTGAACAAATTTTATCTTCTTATTTTGCTTTCTTTGCCACAGAATGAGTAATAAATTAATGTTTCATAAATAACGTCAAAAAACTATTTCTCATATCTTATTTTCTTAACTCTTTTAGTCTCTTTCTAAATTAATTCCTGAACAGTCAAAGCTATTCAAATATTTGATACAATAATTATGGACAACCAAAATTAATGACCTTTCCCAAACATCCTGTGACGTACCATTTCTGTTCCATTTTTGTAAATCAAAAATGGATTAGAACTGACATGCCTGCTCAACTACAGGCAAACACCATCAAAATACACAATCATTTCAATGATCTGAACCAGGAATTATATGATAATTCGAACCTGTTTCTTAGATTTTCAATTGATGCAGTTTGTGACAGTCACTCTCATGAACTACCATCATTTTCACCAATGGGAACAGATTTCTGTTCATGACCTGAGGACAGACATGGATATTTCCAAATGGAACTGCTGCCTGCATTCACTCCCTACAGCAACAACATCTTCATTAAAACACTTTGATACATCTTTATGTAAATCCAGCAGAATAACATTTTGTATATATTCCAGTATGAAAAATAGAGTATTAAAGTAATGAAATGCTGCTAGTTTTACATGTTTCTGATAATCTTCATATTCCTCACTTTGGCATTAATTTTGCGCTTTAAGTTTTCCTGTGAAGAAATGCACTCTGGAATAACTTTATATTCTAATTATAGTTTGATGAAGACGCAGCCTGAGCTGACACTGAACCTGCTCTGTCCTTCCATGCTAGGAATGATTTATTCAGCCAGTTCACATTCAATTTTAAATACAATTATCCATCTTCTTGGCTGATGAACTGATACCAGATTTCAAAGCACACAGAGATGGACACACTCACTCACAATCAACTTCCAAAATGGCCCGGATGGACTTGGCAAGGTCCCTGGCTTCTGCTGCAAGAGCTGCTGTGGCAGTAGGTCCGACCCTTCCCAGCCGAGCCAGAAGCGCTTTAGTGGACAATGTTCTCCTGTCACTAAGATAATAAAAAAATAAATGTTTATTTGTAATATGATAAAGGAAACTGCTACTTTTAATAAGGTAAACTTGTTTTTCTAAAGTGGTTTTGTTCTCAGTGTATGAGCAAAAAAAGATTCATGCTCCCAAATCAGTGAGCTTGCCCCAGCAGCAGTCCTGGCTGAACAATGAAGGTGTTTGGAAAGTTCAATTCAAATAACATTCAGAACTCAACATGCAGTGTCAGGGACTCAGAGGGTGTCAGGAAGGGAACCTGAATGGAATTTTCATAGCAGCATTTAAGCAGGGACACTGCTTCATGGGACCCAACTCTTATCTTCTCTGCCATCTGAATCAGTTTGTCACCTTGGCTGACATTTGATAATTAATCCATTCACTAAAATAAATTCTGTGAACTTCATAAAACAGCCAACATCATTGCTGTGTGCAGTGCCAATGGGAACTGCATCTCACTGACTGTCTACGATATCCTAGCTGGTCTGAGCCTGCCGAGGTATTTTGAAATAAAGCTCCAGTTCACTTCAGTTAAATACATTTGATTTTCTTGAGAGCTGTATTGAAAAAAAATGCAGGAAAGAAATGGAACTATTTTACAGTTACATAAATATTAATGAAATGCTATCTGTGATATATAGGCACAATCATGCCAATTTTCTGAAGGACCAAAGGCTGCTTAAATCTTCTTGAATATTCCCAGCAGCTTTTGAAACAAGTAACAAAGTGTTAATGGATATACATTTTATTAATTTATTTATATGCTATTGTATTCATTGTGATGCAAAATCATCTAAAAAAATGTAAAAAAATATTAAATTATAACCCACTGTTAAGGCTCCTTGCATTTTAACTAATCATTAGTACATTATAATTAATTTATGGAAACATCCAGACAATCATAGCTATGTAATTACTAACTGTTTTAATTTAATTCAGAGGTTTTTAATGAAGCTGTATCCTGAAAGCCTAATTTATAATTCATGTCATTCCCTCTCCCTCAATAAAATGACATACAGAACTATACAGCAAAAGTATAGAAAAACACAGCTACAAGGCAGTTTTTTGAGACTTGGAAACAATAGTAGAGTTTTGCATTATTAATGTAGCCATTTCATTACCTTAAAATTGTTGAGGAAGTAGAGTTATCTGAAAGTATTTCATGCACAACCTGTTGGTCATAGTCAAGAAGTTAACAGTTTATAAATCAACACAGTCAAAAAGTTAATACCTTATAGCTTGATGTTCTGTTTGGGGGTGGGGGACTTGATTTGCAATTAAAGAGTCTAGTGTCTCCCAGCTAGAAGTGCAAAAGTAAAAACCAAAATATTATAACCCCTTTAAACAAAGTAAATATAACAACATCACTTTTTTTTTGTTTCATAACGTGCCAATGAATTATCAACTATTAGATTTCTGCCTTTTTCTTCTGAAGAGTTTCACAGAAATTGTGAGAGTTTAGGTGGTAAAAATTATCTGATAATTTTCATTTGTCCAGTATAGCAAAACACAAAGATTATGTAAACCTCTGAACGGATCTGCACACTTACACATCATCTAGGGATATATATTTTCTAGGGATGAAAGGACCTCTGCAAACTGGTTTGTAGCCATTTTACTATGCTCATTCCTCACAAACATCAACACAAACCTTTTCCAAATATGATATTGTTAGAAATGAAAGGCAAAGTTACCTCTACAAATTGTAGCAATTTTTCAGTGGCCACCTCAAAGGTCTTCCTGGCCGACTCCGATTTCCGCAGCTGGCAGTCAAGCACTGTAACCCTCTTTCTCAAATCATGAATGTTCTCCTGGGAAAAGTATTTTAAAGCTTTTATTCTAATAATTTTCCTCCCATAGATCACACAGAGATATAGCGTGAACAGAGTGTTTGGAATGTTTAACACGCTCTTTTCTACATTTCTGTAAAACATAAAACTGGAATGCCTGAGCAGCTGGCAAATCAACTCCAAACTGCAACAGATTTTGGCAAATGACAGAAAGGTAAATTAAAAGTTGAAGATAACAACAGGGATAGGGCTGAAAATTAAGAGAGTTTGAACTGACTGATGAATGGATCAAAAATACCAACCTTATGGTGATCCTATCTCAGCAGGGTGCATCAACAACCAGAACAAACTGAGTCCCCTAGTTTGCACACACACAGCCTCTGGCCAACGCAGTAATTATGGCACATCTTGGAGGAAATGACCCCTAGGATGTCTCTGCATGCACTTGTATAACCTATTGATCAGTGTTATGCATCCCTCCCTCCTTCAGTACAGAGGTGAGCCCTGTCAGACCCAGCTCTGGAGGCCCTGCAGTCCATTGGAGTTCCTGCCACTGTTCCTGCAACAGGACCATGAGTAAAGTCCTCACATGTACCTGGACATGTCTGTTTAGCACAGCTGTCTGCTGGACACAAGATCTAGAAAGATCTCTCCAAAATACAGAAAAAGCACTCTAATTAAAAATAAACTTTTTCATCACACTGCAGGTGATCATTCTACTCTAATGAGTAGAGTAGAATGCCCACAACCTACTCTAAAGCCCTTACAAAATAATCACCACAACCCACTTACTAACTTTACTGGAATCAAATGATTTGTTTGTATACACTGTACAAAACAGCAGAATCATCATCCCACTGAACATCAAGAATTTTTTTGGTAATTTCATTATCCACTCTGGAGAAGAAGCTGGTGAAAGAACTCACTCTATCACACTAAACAAGTGAGAGAGACCAATCTGATTTTTATTTATGCCTCAACATATGTTATATTCCATTTAGTGAATTTGTTTTAGGGGGAGATTTACTGTAACTGACTCCCCTTTTACAGCAGGATGGGACAAAAGGCTATAAAATGGTGTTGGCATCTACTTGATATTGTTTCTTTTGGATAAGCAATGCAGAGATACAAATCTCCACATAGATACTGTAGTATTCAGTCAGAATTTCAGGAACTCAAAGCTAGAATCTCTGGAACAAACCTCCAAGAAATCAACCAACACTCAATGAATTTCTTAAAATTCGGCTATTTATAGAAGTCCTAGAAAACAAACAGTGATGCAAGAACACCTGACATAAAAGATGGAGCATCTCACCCAGATGTTCAGAAAGAACATCCAGGGTGTGATTCACCTTATCACTCACAATCAGATAATTGGAATTCCTCCTGGGAGCCACAGGGACTTCCTAAGCTGTTCTCTGCAAGCTTGTTTACCCAGAGCTTGACTTTACCTTCTAATATCTTGAAATATTGAAGTAATTCTCAAGATGAAACAAGGCAACATGTCAGTAGTTCTTCTTCACCAGGTCATATGCACATTCATTTTTCATGAGAAAAACAAGGTAACCTCACAAATGCCAACCTGCTTGCACTTGTTCAAACTGTGTCTAAAACACAGGTCAGGAGCATGAAAAAAAATTTGAAGTGCATCAAATACTTTATTTCTTAGCCTATTCTGAAATGCCTCACTGGAGATGAAGTAGACTTAAAATATAAGGCTCAATATTATTTTTTTTTTTTTCAGGATTAGTAACATTGATTAAATTTAAATTAACTTTTAACAGGACTGGACTTTACATGTTTGTTATTTGCCTAACAGAAATATAAACCTGAAGGCCATTTTCACATGAGTACAAAAGCATACAAATATATGCAAGTTGTAGTCTTTAAAGACAATATATCTGCAGCCTAGAAACTATTCCATGCTTAAAGCTTGAGATGTGCCATTCTGACCTATAACCCACATATGCCAGGAGTTCCTGGTTTTCCAGCCCAAAGATGTTTGGATAAAGGAAGCCTCGTACACTTCACATTACCCGCTTCACTCCACATCATTCCAGTTATTGAATAATAAAAGACAAACAGTGACCTACTTTAGAAAAGCAGATGAAAAGAAAATGAAAACCAGATACATGACAACAGCAAGGAAACCATGGTAACTCTGACAGGCTTTGCTTACTTTATTTTGGCCCGAATGCTCAGCGAGCTGAGCCTTCAGCTCTCCAATTTCAGCCTCTAAGAGGCGGATCACCTCCTCATAGTCCATCTCCATGCCCCGGGCCTGCCTCTGGGCAGCCTCTGCGAGGTGGATTCTGCTGCGCAGGGCTCTCGTCTCCTCCACAGCTGCCTTGGCTTCCTGCAGATCACACAATGCAGTGAAGAAGTTACAACTCCAGCTACCAAAAATGGAGCAGATTGAACTCACAAGTACTGCAGTTGGCATCAGGGCTACCCCTCAGTGTTCATGCTTAGGGGGCTTAATTGCTAATTTTTAACATTATGATGTGCAAATGGAAACCAGGTAAATACAGAGATGTATTTTTGCTAATAAATTAAATAAAAAGTTCTATAATTACTGAAAATCTACTTGAATGAAAGGTTTTCTTGAAATGCACCAGATGCTGTTGATCTGTCCCATTGCTTCCACACCAAAGTACCTTAATGAGATGCTACTTAATTTCATTTTTATTGCCTGAATTCACACTCTAGTCAAAGCTCACACATCATGTAGATGGACTTTTAATGCAAGTCATTCAGTCCTCACTCTTTTCAGAATCAGTGCTTTTAAATTAAATCTCTTTTTCTGCCTTGTCCCTGGTCCTATGATGCTCCTAATAGCCTGGATCATCAGAGAAGAGTGTTGGATAAAACTTATATATAAATAATGTACAGAAACCAGAAAATCAGAAACTGCTAGCTTTTAATTCAGCTAACTTAATCCCTGAATGTTGCAAAATCTCCTTTCAAGAAAGATATTGCTCAGTTCATTTGGGGACTGATTATTAATTGATGTTAACAAATTAATAAATTAGAAAGCCAAATTAAAGGTCTGTACAACAGGTAAGTTTACACTCATCTAGGAATAAAACAAACAAACTGCTCACACAAAATGTACAGGCTCACTGGCACCAAAATCACTGAACCATCTTTTCCCTTAGCTGTTAATCTGTAGGCAAAGTCACTTAATATCAGTTTTCTGAATAATTCAGGTTATCAGATTTCAATACACAAATTCCCAGAGCTGGAAGTTTTTAGTAGAAATTGCTCAATTAAGGATACTGAGGTGAATATTCTATTCCTGGTCTATCTATTCAATCTTATAATTATAATTATATCCTGGTTGGGAACAGAACTAGAGGGAAAACAGGTGGGTGTTTCTCCTCCCATAGAGGAGAAACACACAATGACTCTTTACCATGGAGGAAATAACCTTCTAAAGCTAGGTTTGAAATTGCAGTTTCTAAAAAACCTAGATGGCCAGATCTTCCTGTTTTGTGGAAGAAATTGCATATAAAAGGTGTCATAATAGAAATGTCTAGAGAGGTCAGTTAAACTTAAAAATGAAGATTTTATTCTTTCCTAACATAGAAGCATTTGTCCTGTACAATCATTATCCTTCAAGTCAGGTTTTCCTGTATTTTGCTATCATTTTTTTTTCTTTCTGTAAAATGCTCTACCAATCTCAGCTTCATATGACTTTTAACCTCTACACTGTTAGTCTTAATAGACAATATATTCTGGGTCAAAAACCAGCTAATCTCAGAGACACAAACCAGTACATCAGCTTCCTCAACTTTGCAATATAATAGCAACTTGGATGATGGCCAGGGACATCCTGGTCTCCCAGAAAATAGAGCAGTGGAAGCAACCACACATGCAGAACAGCAACACCATTAGTGAACACAGGTGACAGTGGTGTTGTATAATTTAGCGATTTCTGTAATGGGGCACGAGCACCAAAAGATCCATTTTAGTGACCTTTAATTTGACCACCTGCACCTGGAAACACAGACCCATCCCAAGCTTATTGCTCTGGGTGTGTTTTTCCTCACGCTGCTGTCACAGTTGTGTTACAGCACTAAGAGCAGTGTGAGGGTCATTACTGCCCACACTCCCTGAAAGCACAGCAATCACCCCTCCTGCAAGCTGCTCCTGGCACTCCTTTTTCCTAGAAACAATTCAGGGAACACAGGGACTTCTAAGAAGTTATCAACCTACAGAAGTAGGGGTCAAATTACTGCCTTTGGGAGGGCATTTTCTTGCCACTGTAAGATACAAAATGAGTCAACAGCAAGAGCTGGGCCCTGCTGCTACAGAGGATGAGTTGGGAGCCTTCAGCAGCAAAGGCATCCTTGGGAAACAGGCTGGAGGTGGGAAAAAGACTCTTGGAGACAAAAGTGAAAAGATGCTCTGATGTTAAGTTTGACTAATATAAATGAACACAGAGGCCTTGAGAAAGGGTGGCATCTTAAAAACCCACACTTAGGAATTATTTAAATAAACTGACATGAGAAAAGTGAAGAGAAAATTGCTATTATGAAAAGGGAGGTCTTCATTTTGAAAGAAGACATCCTTGAGATAAAGGTTTAATCTCTTATAATCCAGAATTGCCTTTACTCCTCCATTGTTTTTTCAGAACTCCAGTTGTTGAATATTAATTTCTCTGTAATAGCAGACTAAGTATGACCAGATTTCAACAGTGAAAGACCTAAAGGAATAATTAAGGAACAATGGCTTCCTACATTACAATGAAACAATTACACACACTACAACTGAGTTAGTAAAACTGACACACCAGAGCTGTTTGCTGGAGCAGAGGGGCACAAAGGGATATGATTCCATCAGATTTTTCCATTCTCCAGTTACTGGAATTGGCACTGTGGGGACAGTGGGTTCTCTCACCTGGCAGGTAAGGGGGCCCCACCAGTGAAGAATTGATGGCTAATACCCACTTCAGCAACATGAGCTCTTGTCCCACTCAGATGTTGAAAAAATTGTCCAAGGCCAGGCTGGACAGGGCTTGGAGCAACCTGGGATAGTGGAGGGTGTCTCTCTCCAGGGCAGGGGGGTGGAATGAGATGAGCTTCAAGGTCCTTGCCAACCCAAACCAATCTAGAATTCTAAGACACAAGAAACAGGGGATCTGCAGCTGCTAATATTTCATTTATATAAACACCTTATGGGACCCATTGTCCTGATCTGGTATGAAGCCACTACAACCAATAAGGAACTAGCAGCTGGAGGAAAGAAGTTGAATCCTTAAAAAAGCAATTTCAAGGTACAGGTTTCTTCCTAAGCCAGGTTCTATTTATTCCTTGGATAAATTTGAGTGTCAGGAGGTTTTATCCAAGTTTTATTCCAGCCGCCACAAACACCAGAACTAAGATATTCTTTTAAACTACATGAAAACTGTAGTTACAAATCAATCATGCTTATTGATTAATTCTACAAAAAAATAGTATGTTGAAATAATCCTTTAAAAGAACTTTGAATATGTTTACTATGTATTGAAATAAAAAAACCCTAATGAAATAAACCAAACACGTCTTTCAGGCAGGGTGAAGTAGATTAGATACTGCTTCCAAAGTAGCAGTCATTCAAAGCCCTTATTTTCCCCTTATAGAAAACAACCAAAGTGTAGCAAATCTCAGCCCCATGAAACTAGTCCAGGAGTTTGGGATACCACAAACAGTGTCTTATCTTCACAACCTCTCCCACTTCCTATGTTCAGCTGAGTGCTCCAGCAGAAAAAGCTGTAGCAGAGAAGGGATCATTCAGGCTGAAACACCCCAGGACTCTCAGGCAGCACAGGACCCAGTCCAACTCCTCCAGGAAGACAGAAGACATCATTACAGATTTCACATTCATGCTCTTGGCAAGACTTCAGGTACTCAGAAGTTCCTTTCTGTGTTTTGTGCCAATTTCAGCTTACATATGATTTCAAGGAAGCCCCAAAGATATAGTGCTACATCACAACTTCAAAGCAAAACCAGATCAATTAATGAATTTTAATTGTCTCATACCAATGTTAGAAAAGAATTACTACCTCACTGCAAGCTTAACAGCATTTCCAATCTTAACAGTTCATTCATGCTGTTCGTTACTGAGTCAAGCACTGTTTAATGAATTGGTACTAACAAAGCATGTTCATTAACCAGAATTAACCCGCGTCTTAATTAATCTGTAATCTCTGCAATTCACAATTAGTAGAAAAGAGAAATACCACAAAATATACCGCAATATATGATTGGTAATCTAAATCCTCATTTAAAACGTTGGTTTTTCAGGAAAGCAGTCACTTAAAAAAATGTTTAAATTATGCTGAAGTCAGAAGACCTTAAGCACAGACTTAAATTGGGTTTTGTTTTTTACTTTGGTTGTTTGTTACTTTTAATCAGGCCATTACGGTTCAATAATGTACTCATTAACTCCTTTCACTAACCAGCTCAAGCAGGAATGCACATCCTAAGTTAAATGGCAACTTATACTATAAGCAGCATCACCATGAATCTCAGTGCCAATATTGATTTTAAACAACAGAAATACATCTATAATAATATTATTTAAAACACTTGAACATGCACCGAGTATAAACAGAAGAAAATGTCCATTAAAAGCCCACTTTTAGCTCCTAAAATAGATCACACAATGCTATAATTATATATAATTTAGTATTTCTCTTTCACTTCATTACATGGAACCCTTTCAATGCCTACTAGAAAATCAGTATTTATCCCTGGAAGATTTGCAGGGCAAAACTGAATTTTACCACCCTATGACAGTACCTGAGAAAAATAAAAGTGGGAGGACCTCGAGTGGTGGCAAATGGGCACTGCTGCCACTTAAAACATCTTAAACCAGCCCTGTCCAGGGCTGCCTTCCCAGGAAAAGAAGGTTTGTACTAGGGATTGTACTCTGTTACAGCTTTAGTCTGGACTAATACACTGAACAAGTGTTCTGGTCTAGAACAACACAGTCAACCCATTAGAGAATGGGAACTTCAAGTGCATTACTGGAACAATCTTCCAGTTAAATTTTATCCAGAAGATAACCCAATTATTTCCCACGGTGTACAGGAGGAAACAACACTAATGGAAAAAGCTTCTAAGCAAGGTTCTCGTATATTCAAGGAATAAAAGGTGATAAGGAAGGTGTTCAACAAATCTTATGAGCAAAATATAAAGCTAATCTTAATACAGGGGATTTTTAAACTTTATCTTGCATTTTTACATGACATCTGACATGAGAAACCTGCAAAGAATAGGTGCAGCAGTGCAGGAGGGAAAGAAATCAGCCAGCTCATTAGAAGGAAAAGCTGACAGGGTGTTCAGGAGGAAGAGGGAACAGGAAAGTTCTTTGGTTTTGAATCCAGGCTATAAATGACATGAGAATTACATTTAATTGGGAATTTCCTTTAAGAGACACAAGGAAGTCAAATACTCGGATTTATTGGCTCATAATTATAGATAGATTTGGAGGCAGAAACAAGACTTTCCTCAGAAAATCCTGACTACAACTTTTTTTCCTGATAATTTTTTCACACTTGGTTGACATATAAAGTAGTTAATGTTAGGACTGTAAATTAGGCAACTGTTGCCTAAGAATAGCAAAATCTACTCAAAAAACACTTGAAACTAGAAAGGTTCTACTATATTATTATCCCACTTCATTGATCCAGCTGGTCTCAGGGTTCCTATCTCAATTCAATAGCAGAGAAATAGATTACTGCTCTAAAAACTGAAGAATCAATTCTCCACCTTTAATTAAAAGCTCTGTAGTAACACAAAAACCACCTTGGTGTTGAAATCAGTGTGAAAGTATAGTCTGTATGAGCACTAAGAAAAGAAGTGCTCCTTTTTCCCTCCCACAAAAAACAATTAAAAATTTCTAAATTTTAGAGAGTTCAACATACTTGCTTGACTACTTGTAGCTGCTCTGCTAATTGCTTCTGTAAGTTCACAGATTCAGACAATTCTTCCTATTTAAAAGAAAAAGAATAAGAAATAAGTTTGAAAGAGAAAGAGTTTTGGTCCTAAAGCAATTAGCTCTTTCAAAACTACAGATAACAATACTTAACTTCTATCAACAGCTTTTATAAACCCTGTGATAAAACCATCTCTAAAACCTAACTTTTCTGTGAGTTCATCAATGCTGTTTAAGTTTCTTGAGCATTTTAGAATCATTTACTGAACATTTCTGGAATAGAAATGTTCAATAGTGTAGAAGTGTGTAAGAAATAAAGCAGTTAATTACAGGTTGATCACTGTCAGTTTTCCACATCAGCAATTTAGGGACATCTAGCCAGTATTCACTGTGTTCAGTGTAAATGGGGCTTTTCATTTCAGTACAAAGCTCTCAGGAGAAGAATCACTGTGCCATGGGAATGTGGCAGCAACCTGGGGTATTAAGAAATAATATTTATTGCTTTAGGACTTGGGAATTTTGTAATGGCTGGGAAAATATGTATTAATTTTGCACACAGATTAATTTATCCTCCAGTTCTGATTCCTTTCAGAAGTATCAGCACATGCTCAGACTCTGCAGTTACTTGCATCACCCATTTTTAAATAAAATTGCCATGCTAATCAGTCATTTCTCCAAATTCAGTTCTGTGAAATGTCTGCTTAGTCTCATTTCTCTATAGACCAGATTATAAAATGTGTTAGCACAGAGTATAATGGCTAAAATTCACTGTCTCCACAAATACATTGTAAGCAATCATCAAACATGATTAGGACTGTTTGCACTGCTATTTTCTTTATCTATGAAAAACTGCACATGAAATTAAAAAAAAAAAACCCAGTAAATTTCTATACAGACTCAAAAACCCTCCCCCCTAGTCTCTTGAATAATTTAAAGCAAATAAAAAATAAGTGCTACCTTTAATTTGCTCACTTCTTTTAAAGCTTCATTTCTTTCTTTCTTAAGTTTTTCCACATCATCTTCCAAGGAATCACAGGTTACAAACTGTGTGTATACAAATATATATGGTTGGAATGGATTTCTAAGTGTGTTTTCCATAATTTTTAACATCTTATATTAAAAGTTCTTCTTAATAAAACTAGAAGAAAGTCTTAATTTTAGGATGATTTATAGATATGAAAATGCTAAAAATGTTTAATAAAATTTTAAACAACTTATCTTCCAAATGAACAATTACTTTCCCTTTTAAAATGGATTAATAAAGTGTTTTTAAAAGTATCAAGAATACATCAATATTTTAATATTTTAAATAATAAGGCATTTAATTTTAGTATTCATATACTAAAGATGCTATTTTTAAAAGTCACCTCTAGAATAAAATGATTTTCACTGTAGCAGTAGTTCAAATCACTGGGCCCAGTAATTGTTTCTCACTCACACAGGCTGTAGCAATCCAAATTCTATTAAGAAACCTCAGCAAATCAGTGTTGTCCAGACTTACAACAAACCACAATTTAATTACATTAATTGCTTTCTACAAATTAGGCTGCTTAAAAAAGCTTCATAGGAACTAGGTTAGCTTAAAGAACCCCATGGTGCAGAGCTGTTTTGAACATCTGCCCAAGATTTGGAGTTATTTTACATACAATAAACTCTCTGATAATCTCCTCCCAGCTGTTAAAACACTGACCAGGCACAATATTTTACCTGTGAGTCCTGGAAGCTGGCAACTTCACTGATCCCAAAGGTTTCAGATTTGTGGCCATCATCAGCTGCATTTGATTGCACACACAACAGATTCCTTGAAACTTCAATGAAATCTAGGAAAGAAACAGTTCAGTTTAGTAACAGCTCACTGATGCAACACAACTGCCAGTATCACCATGAACAGCCACTCTGATAAATGCAGTTTTCTACAGGAAAAAAAGAAAATCGGAGAGATATCTCCAAAGAGAAAGCTCTGGTAAAGCTGGTAAGAATAAAAATGCCCAAACACATTGTGGAATGAAATATCCTCAAATCAAATTGTGAAGGAGAAAGAATAACAAAAGTGGTGTGAAGTTCACCTTCTAAGTACCTGAGATATTCTCTATTTGGTGTCTGTGAAAAATGAAATAAATCTGCACAACAGGTACACACACCTGCCCTTCCCAATGAGCTGAGCTTACCAGAGGAGACAGAAAAAAGGAAAAATTTCCTGCTAGCTCAGAGCTCATGGTTTCCTTTTAAACCCCCAGCACAGGCTTGGTAAAATTGATGTTGACCAAGTTGAAAGTTTTAAATACAAACAGTCTCTAATGCACAATCAACATGGCTTGGATTACCTGTACATTTTGGATTTAAAAAATTCTGCTACTCTATAACAGAAAGGTGGAAATATAAAGGTCAGTTTACTCCTCATAAAATCTGATAGAACATCCAGTATCTTTCTTGCTGAAGATCTTTCTGGATGTTTAAGTGCAAAATACTACTTTTCACACACTAGTGTTTTTCTTAGACTTTAGGAAAAGTGAAATTTCCATTAGTTTTAGCATCAGAACCATCATGTCTCACAGCTTCTGAAAAATATTTCTAAATTATCTGTGTCATCAACCAAAATTTTTACAAGCACAAAATGCAACTAATTCTCATCAGAATTAGGTTTAGCTGGAAGAATTGTGATGGTCTCCCTGAAAACCTGTTTCTATATGCAACAGTTGAAATGTTCTTGCTTCCCACATACTAAAATTAAGTGATCCATCCGTTTACTTGCTTCAAGAAGCTTCTTTAACCATCAAAACTCTCTCAAGTAATTTCTGGAAAAATTACAGTTCCCTATTGTCAGAACAAAAAAAATAAAGATTTGTCAGCACAAAATAAAACTTTCCCAAGGCTGCTCTTAATAAAATAAATTTGTGATTTGCACTGCCTAGTTTCAAGTAGAACTTCAAGCTTATTTTTATATAGCAAAATAAAGTTCTTGCCTCAAAATATAATTTTATTTGCAGCAGCAACCCAATACTGACAAAAAATATTTTAGTAGTTATTATCTATAATTTCTGTATTCCTACTTTTCATTATTTTCTGTGGTAATTAACAAATTATTACCTCCAAAAGACACTGTTCCTTTAGAATCTTTATGAAGTTGCTGCCTTAGGGCTTGCTGCTGTTCATCTGTGAGCTGAATCCCAAGATAATTCAATGCCTGGAAGGAAAAAACTTATTTTGGAGTGAAAAAAGAAAGGACTAAGGATAATGACTGCAGGGACATGGGGGAGTAATTAAAGAGCTACACTTCAAAGAGCCTTTGTATCCTGGTACACTCTCACTGACAACACTTTTATTCCAGAGCCACTCAGTGACTTTTCCTTCTAATTGAGAGATGTTCAGATATTATTTAACCTTGAATACAGATGAGTGTAATAAGCAAACCCCTTTGTCCTTAATAACTGCTTTAAAAATCCTGAGGGATGTTCTGATTCCCAGAAGAGTTAATCAGTAATTAGATTAACAAAAACAGTAATTTGCCCAATACATAAAGTGAAATATTGGCCTGCAACATGAAAGAACTACCCAAACAGAAAATTCTGTGTGCCATTTATACTTGAAAGTTTGTCAGCCTAGAAATACTGTCCAGATGTTTTACCTGCATCATGAAGGGGGAGGAAGGAGAACTCAGAAGATTTTTAGTATTTACCCTCTCCAGCTTTTCTGTTTTGAGATGAATACTCAAGTTCTTTCCTTGGGGCTCATAATCATCATTCTGGCTGGGGGCAATAACTAAGAAATAAAAAAATAAAGTAGTAATGATGTAGTGGTAACTATTGCTTTGAAAAAATTTGCTCTGGTGCTCTGCTCATCAAGTAGATGCCAGCTAAATACCCACCTGCCAAAAATACATGTTAATCCTTAGACTGACTTCTTTTTTTAAAGGGCATAATTGTAATCAACAAAAGTTACGGGCATCAATCACTTCCACTATCCTTTTTGCATAAAAAAGTGACAAGTAACAAATTAACAGAAAATAACCAGGAATAGCTTTGAGTGATCCATCAAGCATATGGCTTCTCCTTGTGGTATTTTCTCTTCTCTCAGAGATACACAGATACTCAGGAAACAGAAGGGGAAACACACTTGAGAATTCCAAGAGAGACCTCCAAGACACACCCTCAGTGTAAGTGACAGTGCCACTGGCACATGGAATGATCTAGAAAACACTGGGGAAAGAGAGGGAACGACCTGTTCCCAAATATGGGAGGGAGCTTAGGCTGAACTCTGCAGGCTCCTCAGTATTTTCTCCTGGGAAGGAATTCTTCTCCAAATCTCCTGTCCATTAGGCCATCACCCATCAGCCCCTCCTACCCTTATAATCAGAAACACAAGTTTACATGTGTTTTTTGAACTATCACTTTGGATTTTAAATGTATGCAAATAAAAACAATTCACTGTTTGCATTCCTTATTTATAGATATAACGTAGGTCTTAATAATTTCATTAATGAATTAAAAAGGTACTGAAATCAAAACTAGTGTTTGACAAGGAAAGGATCTTGCAGTTTGAGATTCTCTGTAAAGGAACAGAAGGAATCACAGAGAATTCTTTTTTTTAGAATTTTTTTAGTTTCACAGCATATCTGTTTCCAAGCTCAAAGTAATTTACATTCTCTTTACATGCCAAAAGCATAAACCAAAATATCTTGAAAATCTCTGACATTAACACCTCTCACATGCTATATTAAAGTCTGAAGACAGTGGGCTAGAACCTTGGTGGAATTGGCTCAATTTCCCTTCAGCTCAGAATGAAAAACCTCAGAATGAAAAAGTGTGTGAGTTTGTGCAAAAACTTCTCAAAACTATGCTGTTTTTTTCATAAAATGTTAAAAAAAAGAGTATCTCATCTAAGAGATGCTTTAATTTTTCAAGGTTATCTTTGAAAGTTTATCCTTGAAAAAGGGCAGCATGAAAGAAGTGGCAGGTTTGACAAAAGATGTGCTGGTAAATAAGAAAAAAAAGAAACATGACAAGAAGCAGTACAAACTGGAGCTGCAAGTATTTGTGCTTTCTGCTCTACTCCCTACATTCTTCAGATGTGTTCAGAGACTGTGCCCTTCTTGGTGTCTTCAAAAAAAGAAGCTCCTGTGTACTGAATTATATTAACCAAGAGTCTTATATTCTGAATATATTAAAAAATAAGACTTTTGTCTTGTTCCTTTGATTCAGTTGTAGTGTTTTTCATGGCCAATATGTAAAAACTGTGTGATCATTAATCTCCAGGCATATTCAATACTAAAACTTTGGCAGTTTCAACAGCCTACATTTGGTCAGATCACCCTTCAAGGAAGGGAATGAACTGGTCAGATTTGCAATATGGGAACTATTTCATTTTAAATCTGAATATCTAATATGGAGTATAATAAATGCAGGTACAATTTAAATAACATCAGTAGAGAGACATCTGGAATGAATCAGATCCTGTGTATTTGTTCTTCCTCTCAGCCTCAGTATGTTAGACATGAAATTGAGAAGTTCAGCTTCTGCTTAATTGCTACTGCCTGAAGAAAAAGAATATTCAGGTCTGACTCTGAACAGAGTCAGTTCTATCAGTGTGCCAATGGGGACTCCCATTATTGTGTCACTCATGCATTTTCACTGTTTCTAAATATAACATGTTTGTTTCCCACAGGAATTACAATTGCTCAGCTCAGATTTGGTTCTGACCACATTTCACGAACCCTGTTTTTCCTTAAATGTTGTTTTCAAAATAGATATTTTGAGATTTGATTAGTGACTCTTGATCTTGTTTGAATGTCATGACTCTAAAACACAAATATACATGATATATTGTATTTGCTAACTGAAAAGCTGTTAAGAGGGCTGCATGTTAATTCTATGCTTTCAATATGCTGCCCTGATTTAAGCAAAAAAACCATGCAAGCAGCATACATGCCCAGAATTTCATCAAATCAAGAAGGAACAGTTTCTATGGCAACCTAATCTTGATCTATATGTGAGTCTTCATTATCTGGTTTCTACTGAGTCTATTATCATGACTGCTGTACAGCAAATGTTGTGATCACTCGTTTTTGTTTGGTTTCAGCTGTTTGTTAGAGACAATGTAAGTTATATTTGACAGAAGTTACTAAAAACCCATGGATCTCAGTGCTTTATTTGGGAGTATAAAACCAGTGCAATATTCCCTCTTTTTTAAAGACTACTGAGTCTCACTATGCTCCATTTGACTGTTATTGAAAGAACAAGGAAAGGGTGTCAGGAATGAAATCAGCACTCACCCGTGACAGACACATCAGCAGGATTGCTATCAAGAGCTGTAACTGGAGATTGCTCTCCCATCCTGACTCCAGTTTCTATCTATGAGAGGAAATGAAAAGTCATGAAATACCATTTCTAAAGCCAAACCAGAAATACAGGTTTATGAAAAAAGGGACAGGAAGGAAGGGGGAAGAAAAAAGGGCTGGAGAGATCAAAACAACCCCAGGAGAACAAGAAGGCATAGAGGGGGTGCTGGTGAGAAGGAAAAGCACTGGAAAAAATCAGATTGGGACCTCATCAAAACCTTGGGTTTTGAAAATCTTCACAGATTAAGATAGCACAGTCTCTCTAGGCAACCCACTTCAGTGTTTATATCCCTAATAGGAAAGGAAAATAGGCAAGGATTTTAAGTACAAATATAAGAAGATTTAAGAATCACCTGTTTTGACTTTGTATTTGAGAATATTTTATTCTTTCTTCTTCTAAGGTAATACTTTATTTAGCTTTAAAAATATGATAAACTGAAAATGTGCTTTCAAAAATTGAAACATTAGTTTTAAAATCTTCCTTCTCGTAGTCAACATTATTTCCTTACAGTAATGGTGAGCTGTATGAACTAAAACAATTCCTGCTTAGCCAAAAGAATGGGGGAAACCCCCACATACTTCTAGGACTTTTTTAAAGCAAAAATCTCATCACCACAGAGCACGTGTGAGACTGTACTGTACTCACACATATGTAGTAAGCAGGGAGTGTTTTATCTCTGAAATACATAATTATTTGTATCTAATTCCAAAACTTCAGAGAAACAGTAAAGGAGAACTTGGCATCTAAGAACACAGTTAATATTTATTTAATTTGTTTTCTTACCCCAAGTCAACTAATTCCTCTCATCAGTGTGGTTTACTCTTCTGTTATACAACATGGTTTTTCCAAAAGTTTTGATATTCCAAAGACAATATTGTGCAGGAAAACAGTCAGTCATTTTCTTAATAAAATGGAAACTCAATTACAATTAGGAGAAAAACAATCATTTGCTCAGCTTGTTTTAAGAGGAGTAATAAATACACTCACAGCATCTGGAGGGAATGTTGAACCCAGCCTCCCACTAGGAGAGGGAAGAGGACCAAGTGTTGCAGCCTGTGGCTCTCCATGTGCTACAGAAGATGTTAAGAGGCTGAAAGGATACTGCAGATTCTGTGGATGACTGGGTATGTTTTTCTGCCTAATAAAAGCTATCTCCCAAAAATTCTCAAACCTAGAACAAAAATTTTAGAAGTTTCAACATGTTGTATACTTATATTATTCATAAGATTATACTTCTGCAAAAATTACATGTTTCCAAACACCATGTGTGGGTTTATTTGATTATTTTTCTAAATGGATGTTCTGTTACCCATCATTACAAAGACAAATATTGCAATTTTTTTTCAACGTTAAAGCATCATAATTTTGCAGTTCTAAAAAGTGCACATGAATATTTTCTATGAAATAATATTACAACTGAATAGTTTTAAAAATTAGTATCCCTCATTTCCTCTAAGCACACAAAAACACGTTTCACATTAATCTGATCATAAATATGATCTATTAAACCATTTTGGATGGTTGGCTGTTTGACAGTAGCAGATACCTCATCTTTGTTCTGTTGATTATACTTTTTGCCTCTTCATAGGAGACCCCAATCATGGACTCTTTGTTGATGGACACAAGCTGATCCCCGGGTTTCAGTCGGCCATCCTAAAATAACAAATATAAAACCAAATCCACAAACTTTATATTAATTGCTAACATTCAGAAAGAACTGTGTAGTCACAGCACTTGCACAATTCCCCTGGTTCTATTAGGACAAAAAATATCAGTAACTGCTCTGCATTCTGCCTGTGCTTGACAATCCTCCAGAAATAAACAGATTAAACAATCATCCCTCACCATTAAAACAGTCATTACAAAAACTCTTCAGAGAAAACAGACCTCAGAAGTTGTATAAAAAACAACTTGGGACCCACCTAAACATTTCTGTTAAAAAAAAAAAAACAAACAAAACCAAGGAATGAAACAACGGATTTTTCCAGCACTGACCCATCTGACTTTAGGAAGCTTCTTTACTAATTAATTCAGCTCTGAGCTGGATTAATTTGTATTTGAAAAGCAAATGTTCATGGCAATACATGGAACTCTTCAGACACTCACTGGCCATATTAATGAGACAACCAGAGTGGTCTATTAGTACTCACTAGCCAAAACCATGACAGAAATAATATTGTCAGCTTTGTGATTCTATTGAATTAATTGCAAACTTTCTACCAGTACAAGAACATCTCACATTTCTGTGCCAGAGACTCCAAGACAAGACTTTAAACATGCTAGGCTAGATTTCTCACTAAGATAGAGCTTTCTTTACTTGCATTTTAACAGAGCCCTCACCAATTCAACTGGAAATTCATGCAATTCACCTATGGTTACAGAGTTATGACATTTGTCTAATGTAATACACATCATGTAACACAGAACGTGTCTCTGCTCTTCAGCTCTGAAGAAATCAAACACAAAATTAATCTAAGTGAAAAAAAAATGTGCACAGAAGATGATACATAGGAAATAAGTAAAATACCTTCTCAAAACCAGTAAAATTTTACTTACTTAACAACCACATACCATGATTTTAGCAGTGTTGTTTCAAACCTATTTTTTCGTCACTTAGTGTTTTGGTTAAAGATTAAAGCTGTAGATCTTTCATTTTGCTTTCATCCAGCATGTTCTAAGATATCCAATGGTGCCCTCACGTGGCAGATGCTTCCCAAAGAGGATATCCAGTACTGGGAAATTATCTCTATTATTGCTAATATTAGAGCCTAATGGAAATGGATGTCTTAGCCTCAGCTTATTGATTATGTGTGATAGGCTTTAAATTATATGTTCACAGTGAGAAAAATGCTTTAGAAGGTACAAAAAAATAGGATAAAATAAAAGAGGAATGATTTCCATTTATCTACTGAAAGAGGTCTTTGAGAAACACTGCATTTTTATCTTCCAGGTTGCATTTTAGGATTAAACTCAGAGTATAAAAATTCAGTAACAAATAGTTATAAACTGCCTGGGGACAAAACCCACTGCTCATGAATTCAGCACATCCCCTCTTGCTGGGCCAGAGGCAAAGGCTGGTTATCTACACTTCCAAATAACCGTAATTAATCAGGATGCCAGAGGAGACACTTGGATAAAGAGTTCTGTGTACCTGAACCAGGCAATTACATTATTTATTTACTTTTTACCCTGACAAATCCCCCTGATTTACATACTGCATTTGTCACAAATTAAAACAGTAATCAATGCCAATTCATACATTTTATTAGTCTGCACTTTTAGAATATTTTTCTCTAATTTGCCCACATAACGATTTCCAACTGCAAGGATCCATCTAAATTAAGTCACAAGGAAATATGATATTTTGAATGTCCAAGAAAATAAAAAGAGGTGCAATCTGTAGCTCTGTCCCATCCTTCCTGCTTTACCTTGCATCAAGCAATCTCTTATAGAAGCTGTTTTTGTACCTTGTCATGCATAAGCTGACGGATAAGATCCTCATTTACCTCAAATGAACTCATGAATAAATTTTCATTACCATGTAGCTATGTTACGGTGCAGTGAGATAATTCTGCTAAAAGAGAAGGCAAGGAGGAACACAAACACATTTTGTATTTAAAATATGAATGCAGATGTAGCATACCAAAGCAATTAAGGTAAAAATACAGGTGTCTGAAGGGGAAGGAAGGGAAAAAAGGCCTTTACCTTATGGCAGTCACCACCAGGGATAATTTCTTGAATATATACCAAAGGTCCTTCATTTCTGTTGATTCCTCCCACAATATTCAAACCTAGGCTTGTTCCTTTGCAAACAGAGATAATCTGAAATGTACTGTCACTAGAGTTACAAAGAGAAAGAAAACCAGAATTATTTCACAGAACTTGATAATAAAGACTGAAGCAATAACTTATTTTATCTTACAGGTTTTGCAAATATGTATTACAGTAACAAAGAGACATACTGGACATTTAATCTCAGTGTCCAAATATTACACTATTTAAAACAAAGTCAGCAACCTCAGGCACTTCTGACAATTACAAAAAGAATTTATACTCTATTTTACAAGGCTAAAAACTCCTCTCTACTATATTGAGATATATACTATATCCCAAGGTTTATGGGAGTATCTAGGTACACATAAACCAGGAACATTAATTCACTAGGAGGTACAAAAAAATTAACCTGATTACTCTTCTTCCACCACATAAACAATAAATAAATAGAAAAAAATCTTATTAGTCTCCAATGTTGATGGTATTACGAGCTACAGGTCTAGAAGTTAAAAAATAAAACCGAACTTTAACACTTAGTGCTCAACCCAAATTTTCCTGACCAGCCAAATATAGCATTTCCTGCAGCTCCCACAAGAGAGGCACAGTCAGGTTTGGAGATTACTTTGGAAGCTTTGGGGATAGTAGTGGGACAGAATTATTTCTGCTGCTGCTGCTGCTGCTGGTGATGTTATCCTTCAGAAGCAACTGAGGACTCTGTGACCTTGAGGATGACCCAGAAGAAAGGCTGTCTCTAGATTTTGCTTCAGAAAAAGAGATAATAATAAAAACAATTAAATAAAAACTACATTTGGGAAAAAGCACAAAATTTCAGCTTATGTAACAAAGCTCAGTAGGATTATTTTTATATTAGAAAACAGACAAACTAAGCAACCGGACAACCAAAAAATGCCTGAGTAGTTAAGAACCGAGAAGCACCCAGAATTCCAGGAATAATTTATAAAAACATAACAAGTGATGATTTTCTTCATATTGGGTGCAAAATACAAAACAGACTAATCTCCCATGTGCTATAAAGACATCTTAATTAGGCAGCAGTTTCAGAAAGATTAGAATTTATAGTGCTATAGATCAAATTTTTATTAGCATTTTGTGGCACATTTCAGCTACAAATACCAAGAACTTTTCATATAAATAATTAATTAAAAATGAAAGTCGATACCAGTATATTTATTTAAAGAGCTGTGGAAACTGATACACAAATTCCTCAAGGTACATGTATGCTTTGTCTGACTTACTCCAATACACCCCACTAAAATAAGGAATTTTAAGTACAAGTTTCTACTCCCCCCAGGGCTGATTTTTGTCTCCCAGGATTGTTTCAGGCTGGGAAATGATCTCTCACCAGCTAACTGAGGTGTTGGAGAAGTTCTTGCAGAGGGTGTTTCACTGTGAGAGCCATATTTATCCATTAGGTCATGAAATTCTTTCCTGTGCCAATAAAAAGATTTTCTTTGTCAGTTTGAATGGACCCAGTGAAACCTGCACTGCTTGTACTGAACAGCTGCTCCTCCTCAGAGAAGGAAGCTCAACCCCCACTGAAAGAGGAAAGTCCTGTCAAATGGTCAGAAAAGGCAAAAAAATATCATGTATTGCATGATAAAGATGGGAAAACAACAGACTATGGACAAAATGGACTGATGGTAATAAAGCTTTATTTTTACCTCCCTTTACCCTTAATTATAAAACTTTAAAACCTTGTAATACAATCAACTACAGATAATAAGACAGTGGTACTACCAAGCTCCAGAAAAAATTATTTATATTAGAGGGAATCAGATTATACACCTATAGCATACTCATGTTTTTAAAGAATGCTTTTAGTTCAGTTACACTGAACAAGAACCCAGAATAGACTGACAAAGATGTGGCTCCTTAAAAACAAGAGGATAGAAGAAATATTTATTAACTACTAAAAGCTAATAGCAGAAATTCCTTGCAGACAGCAATCATATTGTAATAGACTGGCAAAGATGTATATCTTGTGTGACAGGCACTGGAGAGATTACAGAAACACCTGATTCACCTGATATTGAATCCAGCCTAATTTAAGAAAAAAAGTTTATAATCTGAGCTCTGTTTACCTCAGTGATAACTGATTTAAAATATATAAATAATCTAGAGTGATGTAAGGCAGAAACATCACCAAATTAATATTAGAGAATTAGTCAGAGAAAAAAGAAATTAACTAAATGGAAGGAGAGTAATTCCCAGGTAATTCCAGTTTCACTTCTGAAGGTTGTTCAAAAATGCCGAGAGCATTATTTTTAAAAAGAGAATAACAGTTATTACTAATGCTGGCCCCAGGGTACACACATAAACACAGCTGAATATAAATAAAATAAGTCTTTAAGCATAGGATGTAATGTCATAAGGTGGCTGGTGAGGGACTGCAGGAAGAGGCAAATTCTGCCCTGGCCACTGCACCTCCCCCCCAGAGTGGTTAAAGGACTGATGGATTTTAATTATTCAAGGAGTTTACAGGAACTAGGCCAGTATGCTTTAGATAAAAGCAGATTAAGAGTGGACCTCACATATATCTAGGCAGTCTGAAAAAAGGAGAGATCAGAGGCTACCGAGTGATTTAGATGTCTGCCGAATAAAAAAAAAAATCAAGGAACAGAAAGAGAAAGCTTAATTTGGACAAAAGGCTAAAGGAATTCAGAGAAAAATCCTTTATGGGGAGATTACTCTGGAAGTGGAACATCCCAGGAAAGACAAATAACAGCAGATACTCTTGCAATGATTATCAAATATAGTTACATAACAGCTGTTTCCTCCCGAGATTTAAGTCAAAAGGGGATACAGACCTGGATTGCCACATTGCTGATGATTCTCTGCCAATATTGGTTTATATGCTTAACTTTCATCAGTCAGGTTAAAGCAATATTTAACATAAATGCTCTTCTAATGAATATATTTTGGACTACCTGTTGCAGTGAACAGTTTAACCTACTTATCCAAACTATTCAAAGCTCATTAGAGATTGAAAGGCAACCTACTGAGGGGAAAAAAAAACTGAATCTGCCTTTTGTCAGAAGGCAAGACCAGTATAAATCTTACGGTTTTGTGGTAGCTGTAACAGAGTCCTCATTTTTCATTATTTTAAAATGTGAGGAGTATTTAAAAAACTATGAAAGCAGACAATTTTTAATGGTATTAGCTGTAAACATAACATTACAATCCTCCTCTTTAAACTGAAGTTGGCCTGAGCTTGCTACTTGAAGTGATTGATGCAAGGGATCTCAGAATGAACTGGTATCAAATACCACACAGAAAAATGTGACATGTGGTGCAATTCTGCAATTAAAACTAATTTGAAATAAAAATACATGCAAGCCCACCCATCCACCCTGAGATACAGCACTGGACTTTTATTAGTTTTGAGGTTAAAACAATTTTTCTCTTACTTTGCTTCTTCATCTCTAGCAACGAGCAAAGACATGTGATTCGAGGCTGAGGCTGTTCTCAGGATGTCAACAGCCCTAGAAGGGGGCAGAAAACGGCCAAATAAATATACCAGAGTGCTGGCAAGAAGTGAGCAGTGCTAAAAGAGCAGGAAAATAGACAAATTGCTAAGGTACTTAATAATTTTCATGGGCAGATGCAGAGAAAAGAGCTTGGCAGCAGCAAAACTTCAAGTGAGCACCAGGGAACGGAGCAAAAGACAGGCTGTGGTGCATCTGCTGACAGCAATAAACTGGGACTCACCTCTCTGTCCCTTCCTTCTGTCCCCATTCCTCCTTGGGCCATCCTGCTGCCCTCCTGAGCCTCCTTCAGGATTAACAGCCCACCCCAAAAAAGGTGCTGCTCAGGTGTGCCTGGCTCAGAATCTCCCTCAGCAATTCAAATGGCAATTTTCCTTTGCATTTTCAGTCTCCATCTCCAGCACTGAAAGCTGCAATGATCTCTACAGATCCAGCTACAGGAGCCATCTACAGCTCTTTCTCTCCCCTTCGCTGTGCCCTTACATGACTGCTGCCACCTATTATCATGACTGAACCAGCAGATAGTTGTATTAACAGCTCCTACTGCTGTTTTCACACACATTTCTGTAATCTGTGTCATTAAGAGACCAGCTGATTCTGCTGTTGTAGAAGCTATAAAGTCCTGCACTTTTCTACAACAGATTTGCTGAATTAGCTTTACAGGATAAATTACTTGTGAGTTGAACACCAAGGATCTCAGGGGAGCTCTGCTCTTTCAGTCAGTCACTGATAGTGTCCAAAATAATCCATACATAACATTCCAAGCTGTAATAAACATTCAGGAATCAGTTTCATACCTTTCATTTGTTACTCCAACCAGGTTTTCTCCATTGACATCCAGGATAAGGTCCCCAGTGAGCAAACGGCCTTTAAAGGAAACCAACAGTGAGTGATGAATCAACAAGAAAATGGTGAAAGTATTGTACTAAACCAGCTATTAACCCAGGAATTTTCCTTTCAGTTTTATGTGACTTTATGCATTAGGCAACTTTATGACACTTGGCACCTGATCCTAAGTAAGATAGATAATTCAGATAAGACTAGAACCTATAAATCAGTCTTACTAACAACTGAATAGCTACTAAAAATAACTGCCATTTAGCTATTTGTATTATTAACACACAGCATAAATATTTTGAGACTAGAATTTATATTTTACAGTTGTGGAACTAATTTTATTTGACTCTTGCTCTTAGCATTATTGTAAGTTACCACGTGTAGATATATTAATGTTTTAGACATCAATAAAGTAAGCAAAAAGATCTTTTAGAACCAATTCTATTTTTTAACCTTCTGAAAATTTCAAGTTTAGGAAGTTGAATCAGATTATTTTAAATGATCATTTTGCACAAGACAAGATGGAATCTCAAAAAAAACCCATACAGAGATCTAGGACAGAAGTTTGTCGCTTAATTATTGCAAACTCAACTGAGAGTAATTTCTTCCCTCCCCACATATCTTAGCCACCAAGACACCACTATTAAAAATAGTAATAAAAATTATCAGAACTAACTAAAAATACTAGGTTTATACAGGAAACAATACTCTCATACCTTATAAATTAAAAGTGATTCAGCATCTCAATGCTCACTCAACAGTGTTGCCAATTGCCAGAAAGATTGTCAATTGTCTTCACCTGCCATACATAGATCTGAACACATATTCAAGACCTGAGTGTACTAAATCTTTTTCCATAAAGGGTCCAAGTTTCATTTTTCTATTTTAAAGTAATCTAAAACCTCATAGATGCTGACTGAACCATACTATTTTAAATATCCTTACCCACAAAGTAAAATAAATATTTATTTCGACAGCCTTTTATATGCAGTGTGTTTGTAGCCAAAAAGTTAAAATCACTTACTATCTACAGCAGCCACCCCACCAGGTAGAATTCTCTTTATGAAAATCCCATAATCTTCTGCTGTTTGTGCCCGATAACCTCCAATAATTTTAACTCCTGAACAACAAACAAAAAGACAAAAGTGAAAAATTGGTTATTCCACCTACTGGGCAAAATGTATTTGCAGTCAAATCCATGAAAGCCAAATAAACTTTCCTGATGCCAGGTATGAGCTGGCAAAGGTGTTTTTAGGTTTGATTTACTCAGCATAACAGAATGTGCAATCTTAGTTACCTAATCCATTCTGACAATCAGAAAAAGAGATGCGGTGAACAGCTCGATTAATTCCATGAGGGCCCATAATGGTCCTAAGGAACAAAATAAAAGTAATTAAGTTACAGAAATGTAGGCAGAGCTATTTTAACAGAAAATAAATTACAGTGACTGTGTTTTCAACTCAAATACAAACCCAAACCAACGTTCTCCACTGACAACTTTGTACTGTTTGATATCTCTGAGCCACCATCTCCCCAGCCGAAAAGCAATCTATTAATCACAAATATTAGATGAAAAGGTACAATAAACATACAGAATTTACTTCCTGTTCCCACAAAGGACTTCAGGCTGAACTGTGAGTCCCATTTTGTGTAATAAAAGGATTGTGATTAAATATAAACAAAATTCCACAATCTGGTCCACCTTACTATTTAGGCAAGAAAAACATACAGTAAAATCAGTTTTCATTAGGCAATGAATATTTGAACAAAAGCACAGCCAGCGCATTAAATTATTTCCTAAGAGATCTAAAATATAATTTTTTATATTTATGGACAATCTTTTTCCAAATCTCCTAATTTCTTCACTCAACATTGATTTCTTTCTCTATTGTAAAAAAGGTTTCTTTCCAAACTCTTTTGCCTGATCCTCTGTGTACCTTCCCACCCCAAGGGAAAACACCAGGATGGCACTTGGAATTGTCTTAAGGGAGAGAAATATTTTGAAAGTATTTGATCATGCAACAGAATTAAAAAAGAATACAAAGTAAAATCAAGAGTTTTGAAACCTAAATTTACAATTTCATCAGACTTGTGACCAGCACACTGCTCTGAGAACACAGAGTATTAAGAATGGAAATAAATACAGATTACCCCTTTTAGGTTTTATTTTCATGTAGATGAATTATGGGTAAAAAAACTGTTAGTTGTATTATAGCTCCTCTGTCCTTTCACTGCAACATTTTTGGAGAAGACACAGCAGATCCTTCTAGAAAAGAGCAGAAGCACCACTGAGGTTTTTCTGCTTTGACCTACATATTGTTCTACATTAGATAGTTGTATTTTCTAGAGGGTCCTAGTGAAATGGAACAAGAAGAATTCATTATCAGGGTGGGAAAGAAGATCAAAGTGGAGGACACAGTGACCCAAATCCTTCCACACAATCTAATCCAGCACACAGCCTGAACTCTATGCCTGAAACCGGGTACTTCTGCAAAACCCAGAGCACATCATTAAAAGGTGCTGTGCCAGAAAGAAGAGAGAAATCCAAAAGGTCCAAATGTTCTTAAAATTCTAGCACTAGCCAAGAGATCCAGCTTCTAAAGAACATCTGCAGTTCTTTTGGTTTTCTAGAAGAAAACTGGATGAGATTTTTTTATCAAAGGATAAGCAATAGCTCTGAAAATGCAACAATTTCCCAAAACCTCATATTTTGAAGTATTTGCAAAATTAGGCTTTGCTTTAGAAAGGCTGGTCACAAGAAGAGACCTAATAATTCTAAAAACCTTTAGCTATAAAAAGTAAACCTATGCTTCATGCACTGTATAATTTTCACTGTAGTATTTCTTGAAGTATTTGTTTCACAGGCTAAAAAGAAATAATGAAACCCAGGGTATCTGGTGTGTGTTTGACAGGACTGCACATGACTATGCTATGATAAGTCAGAACATACTCTTTGTAAGGCTAAAAATGAACCAAAGTGCTTTTACTTGATCACAGCCTGAAAGGACAAATCCCCAAGCCCAATATTTCTGTAAGAATACCCTTTGGACAACTGTCGCAGGGACATTTTTCTTTCTTTCAATATTTTTCATAGAGCAACAGAAGAAAGAACGAGAAAACAATTTCTATGTCTACTCCTTTTTTTTTTTCTCGTATAGAATGTGTTTAGAAAATTACTTACCTGAAGTAATTACTTAATTAGATTCTAATGAAAATTGTTTAAGCCTGATAGCCAATCAGATCCACCTGTCTCTGGACTCTCAACAGAAAGTCACAAGTTATAAATTAGATATAGTAGTTAGAATAAGTAAGTTTGTAGTTTTAGTATCTTCCTTTATATAGTATATGAATGTATTATAACATAGTTATAATAATTAAATTATTCAACCTTCTGAACTAGAGTCAAGATGTCATCATTTCTTCCCACTAGGTTCACCTACATTTTACAACAGACAACCTCCTACTCCATGACAAAAACAGAGTATTTTGCATTACTACCCAGTATTGTCACTGCAATTATCCCAAATTTGTTTTGAGGATGAAGCACAGCATCCCAGTCATGCTTTGTCCTGACTTGTCCCCAACTCTGAAATCTCAAACAAGGTAATTTTTAAATTTTAAATCTTTAAAACAGGCAAATATTCCATTCCTTGCTCCCTTGCCTTTTGCTGCTACTGCTATTGGTTTTTCTCTGCCATTCCCTCTCGGCCGTTTTAACGTGGCAGTTTTTTGTTAAAATTAAAAAGAACAAAAGTTACTTCAGCCTCACACAAACTGATACAGAGGTTTTACTTTGGCAAAGTCTGAAAAGATCAAATCTCAGACTTTAATCTGAAGTTTAGAGTTTGCCAGAAATTTTAGAACCTCCTTATATACTACCATATTAAATAATAATGAAATATGATCAAATCTAAGAACAGGACAATTAATAGGAAAGGATCTACATATTTAGAAGTAACTGGCAACACTTTCAAAAGAGAGATTCTAATGAAAGTAAAATGGATTCTGACAAAGAGAACATAGAGAACACACAGCTAATAATGGCCAGTGGAGAGGAGTAAGATATCTCTGAAACACTGGAATTGTGATGCTGCCACCTACAATTAGAAAGAACTGACACTTTGGACAACTTTTACAAGGTACTCAGGTCTGTTTAGGCTCTAAAGACTAAATCCCTCCATACATGCAGTTCAAAATTACTTTATCACATAAAAGTAAAGACAAAGATTTTCAAATGCCCCAAATTTGTTTAGCATATCACGTCTAGTTGACTTTCAGTGTTGGGGTTTTTTTCCCCATATAACAGAGATCTTCAAGTCAAGCTACTTGTCATAGTTCTAATAAAATAAAGAGAGCTTTAACAATTTCACTGTAAAATGACTTGGATTCAGTTCCCATTCAACATTTCTTTTATGTCATCAATTTTAATATTTGTGAAATATTAGAATATTTCTCCCCGAGCTTTTGAAACATGCTCAACAGTAAAAATAAGGAAATGGCCAGCTGGCAGTAGTAACAAAAAATAATTCAATGTTTCTTGCAGAAAAAGATGCAAATTAAATAATCAGATGTCACTACTCATTTTTTGAGGTCAGGCAAAAGTACCTGTAAGGAAGGTTTTAGCACACAGAGAAGATGTGATGCAAGAGATTAAATAAGCAAGCAAAACCCACCAAAATGTACACTACAACCTTCTTAGACTGAAAAATACTAAACTCAACACTCCAACTGAAGTCCTGGAATGCTAACAGACTATGCAACATTTTGTGTAGATGCTCCAGTAAGGGCAATTAAAACGAACCTGCTTCTATTACTTTTTAGCAGCATACACAAAGAAGTTCAACAACTTTGGGTTTTATTTCTTTTAGTACTTATCAGAACATACAGCACCAGATATTCTTCTGATCTCCATTTCTAAGAAGTTATTAGTCATTTATCTGCACAAACAAAACATTTAGCCATGTTTATCAACCGGAGAATAATACACTTTGCTCACAAAACACACATCACTTGACACATAAAAATCTAAATTATAAACTCTGGCTGTTGATGAAAAGAAGCTGAAAATTATCATCTTTTAAATTATCTTTCCTGTACTTTGCCCAATTACAGACTAGAGCAATGCCCTCAGACCTGAATGGTTCAGCATACCAGTATAAGAGAGAGAGACCATCAAAACGCTCTGGTTCATCTTCAGCCCCTGGAGAAAGCAAGGACATCCTTCAGCACGGCAGGAAAAACAAGGACAACGTAACCAAAACACGCTGGAAGTTTCCAGTTCAGCCGGATAAACGTTATGAGCAGGATGATTTCTGCTAACAACTAAAAAACCCAAACACAGAGCTCCAGCTGAGCGTTCTGCCTACTTAATCTTCTCTGAAAGCCTCTGCGTCACATGCACTAATTCACCTAGAGAGGTAAAGCTTACTTTTTCTCTCTTTGAAATGGCCATTTAGAGTAATTTTAAAGACTGATAAATGCAAAGGAGAAAATTTACCACACTGTGATTAAGCAATCTAGATCCAGCAGCCAAAGGCAAATGTGATGATTAAAAGCAAGTTCTTTCCTCCTCTTTTTCTAATAATTTATTTACATGCTCCCTGCAAACAAGGTCAAAAGCACTAACTCATAACCTTTCTAAATAAATCTTCCTAGCAGACTGCATAATGCACAGCCACACGAAAGGGAAAGCCAACAAAGCAGACTGGGAGTATTAATGAAACAAATGCCATTATGCTATTACTTTTCATTCTCAATCACAGTTCTGGCTTCTGCCAGAACTTGATTTTTAGACTTTCAAGATACAGCAGTCAAAAGTCAACACAGAACTTGGGTTATATATTTTCTCTAGAAATGGAAGCTGACATGTACTTTTGTGTGAAAGGAAATTAGACTGCCAAATTTATGTCATTACTCTGAGAATAATGTAGTTTAAGAAGTCAAATGTATCACCCCTGTTCCCAGAGAACAGATCCTGTGAGAGGAGACTTGGTCTTGCAGAGAGATGCACATTTTCAGAAATTCTGAGCATTGACACCAGCTTGGTTAATGAATGTTTCCTTCCAGGCTTGCCTCAGAAGTACCCCTACTACTCCCCCTCTCTCAAAAGATCGTAACAAGACTGCAGCTTGAAATGAAAGCCTACTACCCGGTGCTCACTGAGGGCTTTAAGTAGGAAGGTGAATCCTCTCTAGCCAGGAGCAACCCTGTGATCAGACAGCATCTGTCAGGTCTGGAGGTGCAGCAGGAGGGCTCAGCTATGCCAGGAATGCAAAAGCTTATCTCAGGCACCCTTTATTTATTTATTTTTTTAAAGCTGCAGTGACTGTGGTTTCATTAGCAGATAATCCTTCTGAGGAAAGGATCCCTTTGCTGAGAGCCTGCTGAACAGTGTTCATAGAGAGTGGTCAGTCCTGAAAGCCTGCAATGCACACACAGAAGGGGCAGAGTGACCCACCACAGACTAAGGAGCAGATCAGAGATGGAAATGGGAACATAAAGGAGCCTTCCCAGTTCCCAAATAGCGAAAAGCCCCAGTGGCACAGTGACCACATGCATTCAGAGATGAAAATTCGCTTTTCCTCAGTCAGCTCACTTTGCTGCTGTTACCAGCATTACAGAAAAGCCACTGATATTTTAAGCCTCGTATCAATTAGATTTGCTCTAGGCAAGGTTACAGAAGATAAAGTACCAATAGATTTTCTCCAACAAAATGACCTCTATACTTAACACCAGTGGTATATTAATTTGTGGTATCAATATCAGGAGCATTTGTCAAAATACATCACTGAGACCAACCAGTGTCACATTTTCTGCTATTGAAATCCCCCAATTAACATATGGCTCAAGGCTCTGCAATTTCCTTATTAAAAAGCAAATGTTATTTTTATTAAACCAGACATGACAAACTTCTGGACAATTTAAGAAGATACCAAGTAGTATTAGCCTTATTGCTCTCCTTTTATTAGAGTTATTATCAGTAATACATGACTTGTTCAGAAGATTGTTCCTCCACCCCTTTCTTCAAAGTAAACTGCTTTGTTCAGCTTCCTGAACTCGTCCCCAAGGCTTCTATCCCTCTTTACCTTCAAATTCTGTTGCTGTGCCACTTTTAATGATGACAGCATTATTGCTTCTCTTCCAAGTGTTCTGCCTTTCAAGACCATGCTCAGAGGAACACAAATTACTTTTTACTTCCAGAAAAATCTAGGAAAATTGTAACTCAAAACTCCATGAAATTTAGTATAAATAAGTAAGACTAAATTTTCAAGAGTTGTCATTTGTTGTTCAGTAAGATTAATTTCCGAACAGCTGGAAAACTATTCCATTCTGGCAACATTTGTAATTACAACTTGCCTTTCCCAAGGGAAGTTTTGCAATGCTTTAGCAACTGAAATGGACCACGATAATCTAGCAGATAACAAAAAGATCTGCAGAATCTTTGGAAGTTTGATTTACAAGATCTTATTTGTTACAAATAAACCAAAGGCTTTTTACAAAAATTCTATACAAATCCATTATGCAATTGTAGCCTTACAGCTTCACTAACCCCAAGTTCAGATTTTAAGGACCACAGGCAAAGGAATGCTGCATCATACAGCATGGATGAGCACTCACTGTGATTCATCCAAACCCACTCATTATTCAAAATACATTCTGCTGCTTAGGCTATAAAGGTTAAACGAAAACAGGTCATTACACAGCAACTGTTAAGCCTAAAAAAAGCTTGGGCAACATTGTAATTGTGGAGAAGCATGAATAGTTTGAGGCTAACCCCCTGCACAGAGAAGAAAGGTATGACTGGATGTTCAGGTAAGCTTCAGTTAACATATAAACAAGCACATTCTTGGAAGCATCATCTCCTACAAGAAATAAAAGTACAGAAAATGACAGCCTGCCATCAGCATGCAGCAGAAGTGCAGTTTTAGGTGCCTTTCCTGTTCATCTCTAATGTGAAAAACCACCTTTGGAATACAGTGAGCTAGGAACTACTCATGTAAACTACTCATCTTTCACATGATTCTAGCTAGCCACAGCTATCTTTGTGATCACATACCCTGAATTTCCATCTGACAAGCAGAGTTTTGGCTTCTTCAGGTCTTCAGTAAAAAGCAAGTCAGCTTTTTTAATGTTTTGTGATTTTTCTTTTCTAAACAATCAAGTTATTTATGAAGTGGCATAATTCTAAATCTATGTTAAATTTTTTATTATTCTTCTGGATACTCTTTGCTGGATTCTGTTGCACAAGTACAACAAACATGGCAAGTCCAGCGAGAGCCGCCCGTGCCTAGTTTTAATTCTGGTTTTGATGACAGCATTTGGCAGTTTGGAAAGGGTCTGGAATTATGCTTTTCAATCATGACTGAATCCCTGTTTGACATTTAGATTCTGATCGAACTGTTACGTGGATAAAATTATGTTTTATAGAATCAATGTGGTTTTTTATATCCTGTGACACTGGTAAAATTATGATGGTTTCTAAGTACTACACATAAAATATTAAAGGTATAGAGACAGCGTATTCTGAAAAAGTAATGCACTGTAACACAAAACCTCCAGTCTTATGCTACTGCAGGTACCCCAGCTGTACAAAGAAGTGATCTACTATATACAAGTATGCTTTCATAGTTCAGAAGCATTAAATTTTAATATTACAATCCATTCATTTTATTTCTGCATATAGGGAAAAAAAGTACTTACTCCTTCTCTGTATTTGTGAGGGGATCTGTACTGGACATCTTCTTAGAGGCACTATTAAAATAAAAGTTCAAAATGAAGAGTTCTGACACATGAAGAACAGGCTCCTATCCAGGATCAAGATCCTCTAAAACAGAAAAAAACAGATTACAATTCTAGGATGGTGCAACGTAACTGCTAAAGGCAAAGACAATGGTTTTTTTTTTTTTTTCCATTTAAAGTTACTTGGAAAGGGAATGGTGTTTTGTGTGTCTTGTTTTTCTCACATGAAGTACGCAGAACAGGCCAAAACACACAAAATAGGCTTACATGCCATTAGATAGCCAAAGCCTCCAGAAATTCACACTGTATTTCTATTAGTACATACAACAGGTTGACAGGAAATAAAATCCTGGATGTAGTGAGCTACAAGCACTTCACAAACTGCTTAAAAAGCATTAATGCAAAAAAAATCAGTTTGTATCAGTAGTAGCAGATCTTTCTGACCTTGTGAAGTGCACAGCTGAACCCTCACAACCCAGAACAGGAATTATTTCCAAAAGAAGAGGGACATGGAGCTCTCCCAACACACAGGCAAAGACAGCACGGGTGCTCCTGGCACCAGTGTCACACCACAGACCCTGGCCAAGATACAGCAGAACCCCCAGGTGTAGTGTCAGCCTCCACAAAACCACTCCCAATTCCTGTGTGTCTGTACTTCTTGTGTGAAAAAGATGGTAAATCTACGTTGCAATACCACAAATGCTCCTGCAGTAAACATTTTCAGGTTTTTATTACTAAAGAACGAAAAAACCCCAGTTATCTGAACACAGGGGAAATAACACACTGAACCTTTACCATTCTCTTATTCAACATGATAAATTGAGAAGTTTCAGGAGCTGCCAGTCTGTGTGATTCACCATACTGGAACCACCATAGAAGAGAGGCACAGCTCTAAAGCAGTGAATTCAAGTATTGCTACAGAAAATTTTATTACAGTGCATGGCATCAGCCTCGTGAAAAACTATTGTTTGTGAACTTGCCCGACTTTGTCCATCCTCAAGTTCCTGCTGCTTCTGCCTGAACAAAACCAAATCCCTAGAAATTAAATTTACGAGAAGCAAAGCACCGGGGGGAAAAGAAAGAAACACAACCGGTGTCAAATGTCCACAAAGGGGGAGACACTGCAGGCCCCGCAAGGACCACCCGGAGCAGGCCCGTGCTCAGCGCCCGTCCTGGGGCTGCCAGCGCGGGACAGCCAGAGGGACAGCCAGAGGGACAAACAGAGGGACAACCAGAGGAACAACCAGAGGGATAACCAGAGGGATAACCAGAGGGATAACCAGAGGGATAACCAGGAATCTGCGGGACCCGGGTCATCCCTCTGGCACCAGGTACCGAAGTGCGGTCCCTGCGGGACCACCGCCCCTCGGTGACCCCGCTCCGGGCCGGCTGTTGGTACCACTGCCGGGCAGCACAGCCCGCTCAGCGCGGGGCCGGAGCGGAGGATGCCCGCCGGCCTGCGGGATGCTCCGGTTACCTGGTACACACCGTGCGGCCGAGCCGTGCCGCCGGCCAGCGAGGAGGGGCAGCCGCGGGCGGCTCCGCCGGGACTCAGCGCGCTCTGCGGGGGCGCAGCGGGCAGGGATGGGATGCGATGGCGGCGCGGCGCGGCTCGGCTCGGTCCGCCACCGCCGCCGCCCTCTACCTTCCCGGCTCCTCCTCTCCCGCCCCGCTCCGCCTCCGCCCGCCCCGGTCCCGTCCCATTGCCCGCCCCGTTCCGAGAGCCCCCGCGTGCGGCCATGGCGCTGTGCGGGCGGGGCTGGGCGCGCTGTGCCCGCGGGCTGCGCCTCGGGGCCTTGTCCCGGCCCGGGCTCGGCGGGACCCGCGGCGTGCGGGGCTCCAACCCCTTCACCCGGCAGCAAGAGGAGGAGTGGCGGCGCCGGAACCGCTCGGCCGTGGGCTACATCGCGGCGGCGGCCGTGGGCATGGTGGGGCTGTCGTACGCGGCCGTGCCGCTCTACCGCCTCTACTGCCAGGTACGGGGGGCGCGGGGCCCTCACCGCCCCTCCCTGACGGGCCACGGAGCCCTCACCGCCCTTCCCTGACGGGCCGCGGGGCTCGGAGCCCTCACCGCCCTTCCCTAACGGGGCTCGGAGCCCTCACCGCCCTTCCCTAACGGGGCTCGGAGCTCTCACCTCCCTTCCCTGGCAGGCCACGGGGCTCGGCGGCACGACGGGCGCGGGGCGCAGCGCGGAGCGGATCGAGCGCATGGAGCCCGTGCGGGACCGGCTGATCAGGGTCACCTTCAACGCCGACACGCACGCCAGCATGCAGTGGAGCTTCAAGCCGCAGCAGAGCGAGATCTACGTGAGTGGCCGCCTTCCCCCGCGCAGGGCCCGCCTCGCTGCCGGAGGAGCCTTGGGGCGCTCGGCGCTGCCTCTGTGACCGCTGAGCGCAGCGATCAGGGAGCAGCTCCGGGCATGGGGCTCCGCCGCCTCCCCGGGCAGCCCTTTCGAAGCCTGACCACACCAACGCTGGAAAATGTTCTGATAGCTAATGGGAATCGCCCCTGTCTCACCCCACAGCCCTTTCCGCTGGTGCTCTCAGTGCACTGCACGTTCCTGTCAGCAGCTCAGAGAGCAGTGGTGTTCCACTTGAGCCTCCTCTTCCTGAGAACGAGCAACCCCAGACTGTTCTCTAGAACTTTCATCAGCTTTGTTGCCCTTTACTGGACGTGCTCCAGCACGGCAATGTCCTTTTTGCAGGACATTGTGTGTAGTTGCCCCTCTGCTACCCCTTTAAGCTATCAAAAGTTACTGAAACTACTCCATGTATACACTTCATGGTATATAGACCACATGCACATGATGCATACACTGTATATGTGCATACAGTATTAGTATACACATATATATATACACTAAAAAATATATTGTATAACAGTATATCTAAATCTGTACTGTTTCTCCCATTGCCCTAGCCTTATAAGAACTTCTTTTTATATTTAAAAATCACAGATTAACTTTTCTGTTTCAAATTAGTTGTCAAAATAAGGAGTTACGCTTCTTAATACTTTGATACTAGTACTGAAAGAATAACCTCAGAAATTAAATCCACACCATATCTAAATCTGCATATTAAAAATGGTCTGTGTGCTGTTGAACTGCTGAGGATAATAGAAGACTCAGGCAAAATGGTAAGATTAAAAATACATAGAACAGTATTGAAGCGCTTAATTTTGAATACAGGTGAATTGCATATAATCAAAAATTCTTGTGAAATAACCAAATTGAAACAATTTGTACAATTCTGTTACACAGGTGGTACCAGGTGAGACTGCACTGGCATTTTATAAAGCAAAAAATCCTACTGACAAGCCAGTAATTGGAATCTCCACCTACAACGTTGTCCCCTTTGAAGCAGGACAGTATTTCAATAAAATACAAGTAAGTGTGAACAAAGCAAAGATTGCATTTTCCTTTACACAGAGGAAAATGGTTACCCATAAATTGCGTTTTTATCCTGGACAACATTCTTAGTATGCTAACATTTTAAGAAAATACCTTTTTTTTTTTTTTTTTTTTCAAATGATAAAGTGCATCAGTTCCTTCTTAGCCTTACTGTCCTCACACCAACTGCTCATCCCATCAGAGTGGCTCTAAAATCTTTGTTATTTAGTACCACTCTCAGGCAGGCAGAATGATGTGAGCTGGTCTGGCCCCTTGAAACCTTTACACACTCCTTTAAAAGCTAATACATTTTTTTCCTATATCACCAGTAACACAATTGCTGTCTTATTGGTCATCTTATTGATTCTTCCCAGGATTTTAGGGGTGTAAAGGGAATGAGGGTTTATTTTAAACCATTAAGATGTCTCTCATGTTGGCAGAGATAAAATTTATTATCACTATTGTTGTCTAATTGTGGAATTTTTTTTCCTCCCACCTGCAGTGTTTTTGTTTTGAAGAACAGAGGCTAAATCCCCAGGAGGAAGTGGACATGCCTGTTTTTTTCTACATTGACCCAGAGTTTGCAGAGGACCCTAAAATGGCTAAAGTTGATTTGATCACTCTCTCTTACACCTTCTTCGAAGCAAAGGAAGGACAGAAGTTGCCACTTCCTGGGTATCAATAATGGGGCTTCTCTACAAAATCTGACTTCTGCTACATCTGAGTGCCACTTTGATGCCATTTTTCCTTGGAAGAAAAAGCTGCAGGAGTACTGTACAGTATGAAATTGTATTATTAAACCTCCATGGACACATGCTGTTTTGAAAGGATATGTATATATATTTTTTTAAACCAACTTAATGTATCCCTATTTCTTAGGGATAGTATTTCTTCAGTGGAAGGAACAAACTGTTCATGAAGTACAGAGGGTTTTATCAGGCCATCTTTTTGTAAGATGTTACCTGAATACCACAAGGCAAATTTTTAAACAAATGTGTAAATTAAAATCCTCATTTAAATACAGAATTAAAAAATCAGTTGATGAAGCATCTAAAATTCCATTGCTGGCTCCGGAAAATAATTTGCATGTTAAGTAACTTTAGAAAAAGGTAAAGCCAGGTAACAAATTAAGGTTTAATCTCATAACTAAACAAAGTTAGACTGTTATTTCTGTGCAAGCCTCTCTGACACAGGAGGAGATGATTCAGAAGGTGATGCACCCTCTCATGTTACTACTGAATCAGTAGTTCATTTGGTAAGAGCAGACTGCTCTAAAGCTGTTATCATGAGAACAGTAATTTAAGCATAAGCACATCAGATCTGCGGGATGGTTTCCATATGGAAACACTATTTTATTTCTGTGTTGTGTCCCACTCATTTGAAGTACCTGTGCTGCAGGTGAGTGCTCTTTGCCTCTGGTGAGGGCTCTACTCTGGGCCCCTCCACAAGAGGCAATCTTGGCCTGTGTGTGACATGCTTTTAGGGGAGGGCAGGGTGTGACAGCTGCTCTGAATTGCAGCTGCATGAGCAGCATAGGTGTCTCCTCAAAAACCAGCACCAGCCCATGCAGAGGCTGAGCTGGCCTGAGCTTGCCCAGCAGGGCAGCAGCTCTCCAGGGGACTCTCTTTACCAGCAGAACACATGAGTGGTGCTAATGTACCATTTGGGCATTATCTTTGTGGTGGGTCTAATAACACTTCATCACTGCCTTGCAAATCAGGAGCGAGTTGCAGAGCAAGTTCAAGTAACCTCATTTTCAGACAGAAATTACTATCAGCCAGTATCTCTTCTGCTGGGCCACATCTTCTACCCCTTCCAGCAGAGAAGATCTAACAAAGTAAGGTAATGTTGGTTAACTTGGACTCTGAAAAGGCAATGGTACTTCAGAAATAACTTCCAGTTATTTAAGTCTCAATTATATTTGCATACAGTAACTCAAAAACTGCTTTTTTGAAAATAAATGGATGCTACCTTTAAAATCCATTATTGTAGTAATTACTTGTGTTGGTGAAACAGATATTGGATAACATACAAGTCTTTACTGTACATTAAAGATTAAAAACTTTTCATTCTTTCATCTCTCTAATGCATTTTATCCAGGAGAACATGTTGAGCTCACACAAGTGAAATATAGGTGTATAAAGATAGCAGCAAGCTTTCTAATTCTAATATGCTTCAGGGGAAAAAAAAGTAACATCAAGACAAATCTTTGAATCCAGGCTAGGGGAAAAAAACCCCAATTTCTTACCTGAGCTGTCTTTAGTCCATTGTCCTGAAAGCTGAACTGGTCGTGGCAGTTCTCCACCCATTGCTTTATTCTGGCCACATTCTTTAGAAGAAAAGGAGTATCCCCCTGGCAAGTGGAAATTCCATAAAAATGTGTGTTCTCAGCCTGAGTTGGAAAGCCCAAATTTGCACAGATGCTGAGCACATTCCCCCTGTAACAGGCTCTAACCTTTAATTAGCCAATTCCCTTCCATCTCTCTCTGACTTTGTGCTGCTCTAAACATGGAGAGGTTCTGTCAGAACTGCCCATTACGAGTTACACTGCAACAGCCCAGTTTGATTTGTTACCCTTCACTGGGGGGGCTCTGCCAATACAACCCAGCTGTAGGGGAAAAATTTTAAAAAATCAATCCACCTCCAGTCCTATTTTCAGCTGTTTTCTAAGGCTGCTGTCCAGACCACTGCAAATTTGCAAGAAAAATGAGAGTAAAGCAACTCACCTTCTCACCTCAACTTAGGAAACTCCCAGACTTCTTCAAGGCTGTGTTTTGGATAGAAGGAAGTTGTTCTAATGATCCTGCAGCAAACTGCACAATTTCACACTAAAATATTTCCAATACTACCTACATTTATATTTCAGGGAATACACAAATAGAGAAAAACTTGGAAGCAATGAGAGTTTAATTCTCAGTAAGCATTTGCTTTTATTTGGAATTTTATGCTACAAAAATTGCAAAAGCAGCTGAGAACTTCTTATCCTTAAACGGTTAATATAAGGAATGTTTAAAATGCGAAACATTAGCTTATCTGGTATGAACATGAACTAAGTTCTCAAATTTTGTATCAGCTATAAATTCAGAGAACTATACCTGTTAAAGTGCACAGTTTACATTCAGCATTAAAATAGATAAGGCACTTATTAAAAGATAAAACAGTTATTAACAGGATTAAACTACTTAATTAAAGTAAATGGGTAGCTATTGCTCATCTGCATTGTA